GCGATTTGTTGTATCTGTTAGTACTTCCAATTCAAGTATATGTTGAGATAATGTTAAAATTGATGTGGAAGTAAGTTTATTTTGTACTTCCGGTTTAGATGTATGTTGAGATAACGTTGGCATTGATGTAGAGGTAAGATCATTCATATTATTAAAATTTTCAAGTGTATTTTCTTCAACCATCATATAAAGATAAAAATAAAAAATAATGTATTTATAGCAATTGAAATGTTTCTACAAAGAAATAAAAATTGCATAATGCTTATCATACGTAATACATGTCGTTAGAAATTAGCTTTTAATTAAAAATTAATAATACAAAAATCACGTCAATACATCATGAAATTTAACTTTTAATTAAAAAAAAAGTTAATTACAAATCATGAAACATTTTGCTTAAAAAATCTATTTCAACTCGATTTGAGCATTATGAGCAGTACTGAGTTTAAAATTTCCTAATTAAAATTACATGATCACAAAATTCGAGTTTAACAAGTTTGGGTTTCAAACAGAGTTTGGACAAGCACGATAACATCCCTATACCTGATCCTAAATTTTAATCGACAAATTAACTATAGGTTATAATCACCTGTAGTTGTTTATTAGAATTCTCCCAAAAATATGCTAAATTTTTATTTTAGCTTAGTAATAGGGGTACTTATCCTTAATAAAATTTTTAGTAATTTTAAAAAAACATGTTAAAAAAAACTTTAGCAAGCAAATTTGCCTGCTGGATGGTTTAAAAGATAATAATCAATATTCAAGTCATATACTGTAAAATCAAAAATTTAAGGTAAATAATAATAGACTCTAATTATAAGTGAATAATAATTCCAGTTATACAAAAAGTCCTTGTTTAGCATTAACAAAAAATAAATGAAAGTTATTAAATGTTTATTGATTTCATTTTCCAAATAGGTAATTCTACGATAGTTAAGAGTTGGTCCAATTTAGAGTTAACGTTGATTAAAATTAAAAATAACCGTCAGCAAAAGTAAAATCGGATGAATTATCATACAATATTCTTTTTCGTTTTTTAAAATATAGATAACCGAAATAGGCCACGATTGTACAAATTACGAAACCTAATACAGCTCCAAGTGATATAGCAATCATAAGAACATTATGATTCGTGTTAGTTTGATTCATTCGAGTTGTCGTTGAATTTTTAATTTCAGGTAATAAATTGATTTCAACATTAGTCATAGTCATCTCGAATTCAATAGAATTATCTTGGCCAATTCCTACAATAAAATCAATTGTATCATTTTCTTTAATATGGATACCATACCCAGGAGAAGTGAATGTTTTTGTATTTCCTACACCAATTATATCAGTTTCCCAAAGCATTATCCTATTATTATGTATTATATAACCACCTGTTTCTGAACTACTTGAGGTACTATAATTATTTATAACATGCGAAAATGATACTTTTAAAGTATAATTCCCATCTAATGGTGCAATAAATCTCACTACAGCAAATCTGCCGTCATCGCCAGGATGCAAGGCTACACCATAAGGATTAAAACTCGCAAAACCATCACCAAAGTTATTAGTGGTGCTATTATCAAATCCACTTAAAACAATAATTTTTTGATTAGGATTAAAATATATACCTAAATAATGGTTTAACTGCCAAGAGTTATCAGCAGCAAACCATGCGACTATTCCACTGGATTTTGGATCAAGGTCTAAGTGTGTGAATAAACTAAAGTCTCCTGAAACTTGAAAACCGGCTGGTTTGAAGCCATAAGACCATACTGAATTTGGATTATGAATAGTAGAAAAGTCATCAATCAGCGACCATCTTGTTGAAGGTGTGTTCGGCATGATTATCAGTAGTTTTAGAATCTA